GTCACTGTCGGTGAAGCCGAAGATGCCTTTCACCTGGTTGAAGGTCACGTGCTTCTCGATCTTCACCACGTTCCTGTAGAAGCCTGTGCTCGACCTGCAAAGACACGGGCATCATGCCTGGCCCTGGCACCCACGGCCGTCAGCACACACCTTGGCAGACAGAGCAGAGGCGCCACCTCTGTGGGGGGCCTGGGAGGGGAGGAATCAGCGCCCACGAGGGGACTCACACCAACCAGAGAGCCCAAGGCCGGAGGATGTGAGGTCTTTAAGTCTGTGTGCCGGGGGAGGGCCTCCCTCTGTGGTGCTCCGTGGACAATGGGGGGGGGGGCACGGGAAACACGGCGGGAGGTGGTGTGTCCTAGTGCAATGGTGGGTGGTGTCCCGTCCCCCATGTGTGGTGATCCTCCAGTGCTCACTTCCTTCTCTGGTGCGCGGTGGTCCCCTGGCTCCGCCCCCAGCACGTGCAGTGGCGGAATGAAACGGAATGTGCAATCGCTGTCACAGCCCTGCCCACCAGCCCGGGGCTGGCAATGACACCAGCAGAACCCATTTCCTTCAGTTACTTTCAAGGATGGACGCCACAACACCTCCACGCCCACAGGGTAGAAATAAGAACAGTGACAAAGTAGCCTCACAGGTGACAGGGGCAGCCCGGTGACCCCACGGGCTGGTGGGCACCCCGTAAGGACAAAGCCGCAGCTTGGCCGTGAGGCTCGAGTGGCAGCATGTTGTCCGGGCCCAGGCAAGCGCCTCGGGCCTCACTGCCACAGTCCCCTTGGGCCACATGCCGGCCCTGGAGTCCCTCGGGCCACATGCCGGCCCTGGAGTCCTTCGGGCCTCACTGCCACAGTCCCCTCGGGCCACATGCCGGCCCTGGAGTCCCTCGCCTTTGGGGCAGGACTGGGGTTTGCTGAGCTGGTGAGAACTCTGCTGGGCTGCTGACCGAAGCTATTCTTTTGACTCCTTCCCATTAGTCATCTGGGCAGGGGCCCTCCGAGGCTCACAGTCCAAGGTTTTGGGAAGCCGCTTCGCTCTGAAAGGGGCAGCCTGTTTGGAAAACTACACTGACAGTGGGTGGGCCGTGTCACAAACAAGTCCCTGCCTTGAGAAACAGAAAGGTGACACCCCTGTGCGAGACGAGCTGTGGGCAGCGAGACGCGGGCAGCAGGTTCTGCACGAGGGGCCGAGGCTGCGGTTCCCGGGAACCACCAGCCCGGGGCAGCCACTGCACCTGCGCGACGGGGCGCGGCTTCATGGCTTCCTCCTCCCTGCGCACTCGGCATGCGCCACCCCGACGGACAGGATGAGCAGAGACAGTCACCAGGGCTGCTAGTTGGGATGTGGCCGCCGAGCGGCCGGCCCGACCAGTGAGCCTACGTCCCCGAGCCGCCCCTTACCCCATATAGTCGAGGTCCGAGAAGATGAAGGTCTTGTTGACGTCGAAGCCGCAGGCGATGATGTCCTTGGCGTTCTCCACGGCATAGAAGTGCGCCTGGTCCAGCGTCAGGTCCTTCCACAGGTATTTCTCGTCGTCCGTCATCT